AACAGATGAAGATGCTCCCATGCATCTCCCACACTGTCCAGACGTCCATACCTAAAAAATATGATCTGACTTAGACTGGTAGATGATAAAATGGCTGAAAAAAAGTTTAATTTATTATTTATAAAATAAAAATCCCAAATTATGAGATACTAAATCATAGTTATGAGATAAAAGATGGAATTATGACATAAAAAGATGAAATCATGAGATACGAAGCCATAATTATAATTCAAAACTTATATACTATGTCTTAACTATAAATATGACATAAAAAGTCTAAATTATGAAACTGGTGAAAAAAGTTGATTTTATGACATACTAAGTGGTGATTATAATATATTTAAAAAAACAAAATTATGGGATACTAAGTCACAATTATGAGATAGACGCCCAAATTATGAGATACTACATCATAATTGACACAATAATTGAAATTATGAGATACAACGCCATAATTATAAGTAAAAGCTGATACAGTCATAACTGGGATTAAAAAAAAGTCAACAGTATGAAAGGTTGAATTTATGATATGCTAGGTGATGATTATGATATAAAAAGACAAAATTATGGAATACTAAATCCATTATGAGATAAGTCAAAATTGGGATACCGAATCATAATTATGAGATAAAAAGATGAAATGATGACATGAGAAGTAAAAATTGACATATTGAGTCATAACTAAGATTAAAAGTCCATAACATGACATTATGACAAATGACAAAAGTTTAAATTATTTTGAAATTGTGATACGAAGCCATAATAATGAGGTAAATCCAAATTCACATACTAAGTCATAATTGAGATGAAAAAGTCCAAAATATGACAAATATGACGTCAAAAATGAGATAAAAATCAGATACAAAATTAGATTAAAAAAAAGATCATTTGAAGGTCTTTTGACGTATAGATGCAACTACCCACAACATGGGCAAGCACTACTGAAATGAAAGAAATATGAAGTAAATATATCAATACTAAAAGCCCTAATGGACGCTGTTCAGTGAAGATATGTGAACAAATAAACCAAAGTAGATGTGACTAAACATCATTGTGTTTGTATTCTATCCAAAATGTCAAAAATTCAATTACAGATTGATTTTGCATGCTGATTTTGCATTTCTGACATAAATTAAGACATTACAGTCACTGCAACCAAGCTTTATCATAAACAGTGGTCAGATATTGAAGTCTTTCTAATGATTCAAGGTTTGTCGAGATCAAGAGTTTTATGGTTTTAGCTGGCAATGGACAACAATAATCTGGGGCTGCCAGTGTTCAGCGTTCTTCTAAATATATCTTGTTGGAAAATGTATTTTTGAATTCTTCTGAAAGTAAAAGGGTGCACTAAAGGCGCGCAGTTCAGACTGGATCATTTAAATTTCATGAGGGCATTTTAGTGTTTTCCGACTTTGAAAGGTTTGAATTGTTCAGGAGCAGAGCTGTCTTTGAAAAACACACGTGAAAAGCTGGGCTAATGTCTGATGTGTGTTCATTTTCCATAGTATTTATTATAAATGGGTGTTGATTAAAGTGCCATCATTTGCTACTGATATTTGACCCTCTGTATTCTTTTCATCTCCAAGCAGTCAAAATCCACATTTCAGTTCTGCTTCCACGTTTATTCAAGTTTAACCTCAATAATTATCATATTTTAGAACCACAAGGACTCCAGATAAGTATAATTGTAGCTATTTGGCATGCAGGTATTGTGTTTGAGCACTACCTGGTGGTTATATGTATAATACACTCTCTGCACTTTCACCTAATGAATGAGATCTGTCTGACAATATCCAACCTGTAATAATTTAGTAAAAAGCCATATATGAAGACTTAAGCGAGGAAAAAGTTATTATATACTCAGCGAAATATTACGTTTGATGGCGATACTCTTGATTTTCTGGCCGTGCGACTCAATTAAGTTTTGATGTTTGGCGAGAAAGGAAAGATTCACTTAAAAACTTAACTCTGAATAGAAGATTGATCCAGATCTTCTGGTACACTGGGGTGTGTATTAACACAGACTTCATTAAGGCTGTTTTAATGAACATTTGTTTTGATGTCTGAAGAGTCTCCAGGGCCCTTCTTCAGCACGGAGAATCACCGATTGGACGGGTAAAACACCTTGTACTAACTTTATCTATTCATTTCTGACAAGAATACAGTGCTGTTTGAAACCAAGCCAACATGCTGTCATATACCGCAGAATGTAATTGATTTGTTTGTAAAAAAATACATTTTTTAATTGTAGGCTATTGCTTTAATAATGAACGTCTATGGGACAAGACATTGTCAAGGGGTTAAAAGCAGAAATTACAGTAACGCGTTGTTATTAATAAGAAGGTGCAAAACAGAAAAAAATCCAAATCTTCCAAACTGTCTTTACACTTTGATATACCTAAGATAGTTTAAAATGATTTATATTTTAGAGTTGTCGGGACGGATTTCGCGTGAAATCGCATACACAGCGGCCACGTTATTTCCCCGTGCGTGTCACCTCATATCGGTACACGGAGAAAAGCAATGGCTGTGTTTAACAAAATTACAATTTAGATCATTCAACCTCTGCTGAATACAAAAAACAACTTTATTTATTTATCCTCCCACCCTGATAAAATTTCCTGCATCTCGTAATCCCGTCGAACCACGTTGGTTTTTGATCGGATTAATATGACCGTGAATTTAACCGTGAAAGACTGTAAAAATGCTACAGTAAAAACCTGTTAAATGGTTAACAGTAAATTCCCCTACTATATATATATATATATATATATATATATAGAAGGGTATAACTGCAGCCTGGAGATTTCCAACCGTAAATTGACATTCCCAGAATTCCCTGCGTTACATTTCAAATTTGATGTTTTTTTGTTGAAATAACTATGTTTCTTCTTAGTTTTTTCTTCTTAGTTTTGTATATTAGGGTTGTGTGTTCACCTAATGTTGTTGAATGTTTGTCACCGTGATGGTGTTTAGTGTTTGTGTGAATGACGCTGTGCACCTTCTATATATGTTATTGTTTAAAAGCTGCTTGTGATGGGCTTTGGTTCATCATGTGACTTTCTCATCACCTCCTGCATTTGGTGGTTATCAGTGTATTACAAAGCTACAAAACAGATTTCAGTACTTCAATAGGTTGGTATATGAACATTATATCAGTTAATAAAATTACGGTGTTTAACTGTAAATTTAAGTTAAAACCTAAAAGTTGCTACCGTATTTTTTACGGTAAAATTCCGGCAACCACAGTTGCCGGTTGTTTACCGTAAATTTACGGATTGTTTTTTACAGTGTACAATATTAATATTAATGACAAGATTTTTAACAATATGGTCACTTTTCAGTTCGTACCTACAATATAAGGTATGATGATCAATATGATCGAAAAATATTTCTCATTTTTATTTTTTTTATATTGATTGAACATATGAGAACCAAAGAGAGCATGTTTTTATTTATGAATGTTTAACTTATATTAACCAAGATTAACGCTGTAAACAGCAAGGGTGTAGGCTTGATTTTGGCATTGGTGGGGACATAACGGCAGACAACAGATATTTAATTGTTTGATCTAAATGATTGCTAGAGACAATTTAGTAGTCGTTGGATATTGGTGGGGACATGTCATAGCGTCTACTAAACTCTACACCCTTGGTAAACACTAATTATTGATATTAATAATGTTTCCCAACAAATAAAATACAACAAATAATTAATGTAAACTTATCAAGCGAAAATTTACGTACTGACATTACACTGTATAAAAAAATACAATAAAAAAAAGCCAGGCATTGTCTTGTAATTTTACGAAATTTAACTCTAAAACACAACATACTTGTACAAAATAAATACAGAAAATTCCTTCAAATGAACACAGTACATTGTTCCATATTTTTACGATTTTTTTATACAGTGTGATTAGGTTAGTTTAAAGATTTGATATAACTTTGCACTAACAAGGATACTTGAGCACTAATGCTGCATGATATTATTATAGATCAGTGTTACTAAACCATTTATCACTCACGTAAAAATGTTACATCTTGTGGCTATACTTTCTAAATAGTGTGTACTTTATTATTTATTCCAAATGTTAAGTCTTGAACCTTTTTTTTTCATCAGGAAAACAAAGGAAGGGTGCAGATGTTTAGGGTAGCGCGTTTAAAATTTTATTTATAATATGATACAAGAATAGATTGTGCAAGAAATGGATGGGAACGTGGACCTGTACAATACTAACAAAATGTATTTGTAATGCAATCCAATGGCAAACACACAAAGCACAACACTCAGTTGCTCAGTTTGGCCATGATTGTGTCAAAGGATACATCTTATCAAGCTATATTTATTTTTACACAACATTTCAGCTTGTATACATTTATTGGTTGTATAAGGTTATATATGAATATAAAGTGCAAAAACAAGAACACTTACAGTGAAGGCATGGCCCTGAAGAGCTGTATGTGACAACATGTGTGTCGTTGTACTCGGGGACTCTATCCATTTACAATATGGCCGTATGGACAGACTATCATACACACACACACACACACACTGAATATGGCCTAGGCTGCACTAACGTCATATGAAATTCAACCCTTTCCAGCACATCGACGAATATGCAGTTTAACATCATTCGTCTACTTGCAATACATTTGAGTCTGTGCAATAAGTTGAGTTATACAGATACAATTCATATGAACAGCTGAAAAAATGAGCTAACATCTAAATTTCCCCTTTTTACATTTAAAAATAGACATTATTTGTATTTATCGCTCCTTCGGCCTCAGTAAAATAGCACCACAGGGTTGCACCTTTCAAGCCTAGAAATAGAAAATTACCTGATAGAAGAACTGAGCGTTGTCTTGCTTTGGAAGAGTAAGGCATTTTCATCGTTTTCGAAAGGATAACAAAAATACACAAGCACTGTTAGTTGACTAGATTACATTTTATATCGCATATAATTATATAATGATTTGCCTTTCCTTCATATATTTTTCAAATTAAAATTTTCTTTCACAATTCTTCTCGTGAAGATGTTTCGTTGTTGTTATACATTTTTTTCCCTAAAGCAAGTGCGTGTAGCATCACAGTTGCAGTTTATCATTCTTTCGAGAGAATGTGTGTCGGTGTCCGTCTCCTGCTGTCCAGTTGATTTTTTTCTGTGACGATCCTCAGGCTAGTTTTGCTGAGAGCCCTAGCAGAATGGAGAGGTAAATGAGCAAATGAAATGAAATGACCTATGAGCCAATGAAAATAACAACAGTTCTTTTGACACAGTTAAGGTCATTCCAATTTATGGAAGCTTTTTTCCTCCATGAAATAAAAAAAATAAAAACTGCTACTTTTTCTCTCACAATTTTGACTTTTTGAAGTTGAGTTTCTCTCTCAATATGGATTTTTTTCTAGCAATTTTGAGAAAAACATTGATATATAAAATTATAATTCTGAGAAGAAAGTCCTAATTAAGAGATTAAATAGTCACAATCACTTTTTTTTTTAATAATAAAAAAAAAAAGCAATTGCGGGACGTAACTTCAGAATTCCAAGATAAAAAGTCAGAATTATGAGGAAGAAAAGTCAAACTTAAGAGAATTCCCAGAACTCAGAATTCTGAGAAAAAAGGTCAATATTGCGGGATGTAAACTCAAGAAAGAAAAAAAAAAGCCAAAATTGTGAGAGATAAACTCGTTCTGAAAAAAAGACATCAGAGTTGTGAGATTAAAAAGTCACAATTACCTGTTTTATTTTTTTATTCCATGGCAGAAACAAGCTTCCATAACAATTTTCTTTAAAAAAAAAAAACATAATTTACACTAATCTTGCTAATTCAAAAATGCTAACCGAGTTTGTTCTCTTGCGTTTCCAGCAGTCAGGGTTGAGACGTTTCTGCTCCTCGGCCAGAGCTTTGGCCTCCATGGTGTACATCCTCCTCTCCTCGTTCTTCATCTTCTTCCATTTATCGCCCAGAATCACGCTGATGGCTCTGAGTAAAGAGAGAAAGACCTGTATGTATGTATAAATGTGTATTTTATGTAATTTCACGTACTTTTGTCAATAATTATTTTTAAATATTTCTATTTAGATTACATTTTTTATTTCAGTTGTAGTTTGTCATTTTTGTACTTGAACTTAGACTTTTATTTTTTAACAAAAAACTAGGTTTTGTAACATAGCTAATGCAAACATTTGTCCGTTTGCTTGCGGCACATCCACACACCTGTTGTCTTTGCCGGGGTACATGTGTGTGTATTCCACCCTGTACTTCTTGGCAAAAAGCATGAAGGCGTTCATTGGCCGCTTGCACTTCGTGGGTGTGGCTCCAGAGCTTCCTGAGGCGTGGCTGCGCTGTGATTTGCTGCTGGGGGAGTGGTGGGAGGAGCCGAGGACGTCCATTTTGTCACAGTCGGGACTCACAGCGCCCCCGCTGGACTGGGATGCCCGACGCTGGCGTGCCATACTGCTCAGAACGTACACGGCAGAAGAGTCGAGAGGGGTGAAGTCATAACTGTGTGTGGGATGAGAAAACAGTCAACATGTTCAGTTCAATTCAGTTCTTATCTCTGATGATATCTCTATATATTATTATTATTAATAAATTAAAATAATAATACAATTCATCTATAAAAACTAAATAAATGCTGCAAACAAGTAGGAAATTAGGTCACATATCACAGTGGTTTCCAATCCTTCCCTGCATCTCAATGCCTACTTATACTACGCCCTTAAAGTATGCACTCTTTTGGTGAAGAAAAAGTACACACTTTTGAGTGTGTAGTAGAAGAGTAGGTAAGCTTTGGGACATACTATCAGTCACACAACTGCGTCTTTAAAGGACCGCTCTGTCGCACCTGTTACTGTAAACTGGCCTGTCAATCATCTCGTCACGGTTAACATCCTCCACATTTCATTTCATTTACTACCGTACTGGAGAGAAACGGTTTTCTCGCGGGTCTTTCATGCCGAGAACTCTGCACATATTTTCTGCATTATGATGCATTTAAAAGTTAACGACCAAATGGATATTTATAAAAGTTCACATGGCTGTTGCAGATGAAATATAACACGGATAACAATAAATAAATATTTTTTACCAGGTTAAATGTTGATTATTAGTAACCCAAACCCCTTTTTGTAAACCTCTCTACCTAACGTCGATCGCACGCATCTGCCACGTTTGTAGTTTTTAAACACTTTTTATTCGTGTTTGTAGTTCTGGACCAAATCCTTCGCCAAAGCACAAAGAATGGTGGTCAATTTTAGCCATTAGAGTGTGCACGGATCCACACTTCAAAAATCGACCTGAAATAGTAGACCATCCGGGGACTTTTGGCATACTCTTTTCAACATACTATGCTTTGGGACACACTTATTCTAATCTCACATACTATTTAGGATGGATAGTATGAACATTGAGACGCAGGGCTTGTCTTGGTGTCTTACTAATAAGCTGATGAGCTGAATCAGGTGTGTTTGATTAGGGAGACATCTAAAATGTCCAGTGTTGGGGATTCTCCAGGACCAGGATTGGGAACCACTAATATATAATAATAATAAAAAAATTACATTTTGCTTTAATAAATCATAAATTAACCATGCAATTTCTCATTACCATAATTTCAACATTAATGTGAAAAAAAAAATTTATATTAAGTATTTACACATTATGGTAGTATTTGTTCTATTGTCTTTCATTTATTCAGATTTTAAAAATGATTTTATTTTAGTATTTTTACCATATTATGTAAAAATGACATTACATTAATTTAAATAAAATTAATATATTGTCATAATTGGAACAAAAACAACAACAACCTTAACCATCGGAAAAATGTAGACTTTTATTTGTTGTTTTTATTTAGGAGTTAAATTTGACCTGGACATGCTTTTTTTCCCCCGTGAGATTGACCAAATACTTGTTTGTTTTTACCTCTCAGTGTTATTTTTTTATTATTTATATATTATTATTGACATTCTGAATTCATTTTTTATTACATTTTCAGTTTTCATTTTAACTTTAGTTTAAATTTTAGTCATTTTATCTACTATTGTGATTTTTATTAGTAATTTTGTCATTATTTATTAGCTTGTTTTTATATATATTTATTTTTAGCTTTAATTTATTTGTCTTACAATTTTAGTTTTAGCAATTTTAGTACTTCAATTCATTTATATTTTCAGTTAGTTACCAAGAAAATGTTTTTAGTTTTTCTATTTTTTTTATTGTATTCTATTTCAGATTTATTTCAATCAACAAAAACAGTTTTTAATAGTGTTAGTTGTAGCTAACAAGAACAACACTGGTACCTCCTAAAAGTGTCAAAAACGACAGAGTCGTCACAGTTGATGGCGTCGCAGTGTCCTGGCGGCAGACACAAGTCTCCAACCTGCATGTCATAGCAGGGAATGCCGTGCTGTACAACAGTAAGGCTCGGATAGAAAGAAGACCACCCTAACACACACACACACAGATTAGATTAATAATCTGAATCACATTTATCTTTTAATGATACTGCATAAAAACAGACTTCTGCATTTACCTTTATTTTTCACAAAAAACGGATGGCCCAAACTGCACTCCGCGGTCAGAAGCCCTGCTTCAAAGGAACCAGGGTCAAAGGTTAATTTTAGGACACACTGGCCGAAAGACACACTCTCCTCAAAGACCACCAGCTTTAGCCCATCAGAGCCATAATTCTGCAAAATAAAAAAACATTAAATTACTTTGGCAATAAGATTTTTCATAGCATTTTTAAAAGTTACTACTGGATGAATTCATTAAAGGAATAGTTCACCCAAAAATGAAAATGTGCACACTCTCAGACCATCCAAGATGTAGATGAGTTTGTTTCTTCATCAGATTTGGTGAAATGTAGCATTCCATCACTTGCTCACCAATGGATGTGAATGGGTGCCGTCAGAATGAGAGTCCAAACAGATGATAAAAACATCACAATAATCCACAAGTAATCCACACCACTCTAACTTTAAACCTTTGCTTCTGTTTAAAATATGAGTCCCCTATTCATAATATTGACTGAATCATGTGAATTACTGTGATGTTTTTATCATCTGTTTGGACTCTCATTCTGACGGCACCCATTCACTGCTGAGCAAGTGTTGCAATGCTACATTTCTCCAAATCTGATGAAGAAACAAACTCATCTACATCTTGGATGGCCTGAGGGTGAGCACATTTTCAGTAATTTAACATTTTTTTAGTGAACTATTCTTTTAAAAGGCAAAAGAATGACATCTGACTGACGTGTTCATCATTACCTTCATTGGGTTGGACTGTGTTGCTCCCTCGTCATCTGAATCTTCATCCGACTCCATCACGTCCTCTGCATCCTGCCACTCCACGTTCGGACCTTTGTGGAAGCGTAGACGTGTTCCTGGAGGAAAAAGACAAGAGACAAGTGTTTGGAAAGAGATCTCCATTTATCAAAAGAGAGAAAAGTTCAACTAAACACACTTTTGTTCAAATAAAACTTCAATGCAGTTACATAAAGACAAACATGTTCCAGGCAGAGAGTGTGAGGACCAGAATCTCGTTGGCCCTCCTGTGACCCAGAGACACGCCTGTTTTCCCCTTTTACTCCTGCTGCTCTGCATTTGTAACAGCAGAAGGTGCTGTTCACCACATTTCTTGAAGTCAATGATAAAAAAACTGCCATCACAATATCAGCTGCTATTTTGTTCCCAAGCTTCTGTGAGCACTTTATCTGTGTGTCTTTACCTTTCAGGAAACAGTGCCAGGCAGTGGAGGGCCAGGAATGGGACCATCCCAGCTCATCATCATCAGACAGAGACGACATGCAGAAAATTCCTGACTCGGACTCACTGCTTGCCTGCAAAACGCACATAAAACAAAGTTTGTACTATATGCCATTTACTCTTTAACTCTCAGCCAAGGTCCAAAATTAACAGTAAATAAAATTGCTGAGCCATTGAGGCTGCTAACTTTATTAGGAACATAATGCATGCTTTCAGTCGAACTGTAAGAATGATGGAGACATATAGATACAGTTTTACAGAGAGATTAACTTGTAAACAGTGTTGTTACCTAACTAAAACTATCAAAATGAGTTTTCATTAATTAAAATAAAGCTGAAATGAAACAAAATATATATTTGATGAAAAAAATGAAAAAAGAAAATGAACTGAAATAAGTTGAAGTACTAAAACTGAAATAAAAATAAGGCTAAACAGAAATATTTTTTCATTATAAAAACTATAAAAAGCAAAGCAAAATTACTAAAACTAAAATTAAAATGAAAACCAGGGTTATTACAGTTAAGGACAACTAAAACTATTCAGAACATTTTTGTTTATTGAAATTAAGCTGAAACAAATGAAATATAAATATTAGATTGAAAAAGTTTAACTAAACAAAAAAATAGACATGTTGCTTTTGTCAACTGAAATAAGTTTATGTTAAAGCACTAAAATTACTAACTGGAAATAAAAAGTAAAAATGAACTAAAATAAAAATAAAGTTAAATAGTAATACTAATAGAAATGACAAAAGCACACAACAAAATTACTAAAAATTTAATTAAATTGAAAACTTAAAATATAAAAATGAAAGCTAATTAAAAATAAAAATAATAGTATATAAATGAAAAAGATGATGAAAAGTTATTAGTAACCTTATTAAAAACATAAATAAATACTATAATAGTATATAAATAATATTAAAATGACACTGACATGCTGTGAATATTATATATATATATATATATATATATTGCTGTTTCTCAGTTCACTCAACATTGGCAAGTGTGACAAAAAGTTGATTCTGGACCTTGATAACAGCACATAACATTCTCAAAAACTCTTAAGCCATTCATGAAATCCCATTATAAGTGTTTGTTAGGGATGCACCGATAGGATGCATTTGGGGCCGATACGATACCGATTTTAACAAACACTTATTGGCCGATTCTGATACCGATATTTGTCACTTCCTCTCTTTTTTGAAATTTTGGCATCAAAATAGATAGTATTTTGATCATGTTTTAAATCAGCAAAGTTCAAAAACACCTGCATTCAATTATACTAGCAGTTTTATTGCTGCATCATCAAATAATTTCTAATGAACATGGATTGGATCCATTTAACATTCAGCAGGCCTACATAAATACAACACAACAAAGATACATATTAAATAAACAGTGCTTTTTAGGTAGGTTTAACAGTTTTCAAGTACAGAAATAAAGTAAACAAATGTAAAATAACACTTCACTGTATAAATTAAATACATATTAATCCTTTATTGTAACAGACTTTATTATGATTAATCTTCTCATTTGTTTATGTATACATTTGAATATTTTTTGTAAATTTATATATGTATGAGATCTCCTTTACTAAGGCAGGACTATTATTTTGACGGGTTTTCTAGTCTACGGAGCTATATGGGTAATGAAAGCAAGCAGTTCTTCAGATTTAAATTGTCAATTTATTAAGCACCCCCCGAAAAGGCATGAGATCTGTATATATTTGTTTACTGTTAGTTGTAATAAGTGTTTTGTGTAATTCGCTGTATGTTGATAATGCAACTGAGAGAGAGAGTTTAATGTGCACTTCTCCTGCTGTGTTTTGTTTAGCTCTTATGGTGATTTTTTTGGGAGTGAAAAAGGACGCAATAAACTTAATAAAACATCAGTAAAATTTTGGTCATCATTCAGATAAGGTCCGCTACACTTATGAAAGTTACAAAAGTTATTTAGTCAAGAAAAGTTGTGCGATCTTTTGTTATTTGTTTAGCATTAAAGTGCAGACAGCAGCGCTAGGATTATGCAACAGACATTATACAGCTCAGTGCCTTCATGCAGTTAATTAATAAACCATCGGTTTGTTATATCGGCATTTTTCCTTATATAGCCGATGGTTGTAAATTGAGGAAAAATCGGCCGATAAATATTGGTGGCCGATACATCGGTGCATCCCTAGTGTTTGCATTTGTAAAGGCCCGTGGTGGTACCCTGGTGCGACGGCGTTCCCTCATGTGGCTGCGGGCGGGACTGGGAGCGCTGCTGGAAGACAGAGGGGGTCTAGCATAGGAATGTAAACTGCTACTGTTGGAGAAGATGTGGACAGGAGAAGACCTGCAATGATAATGCATCATCAGTACAGCTGTGCTGTGCAATTTACATTCATGTGCAATTGTAGAAATGCCAGGATTTCCTGACCGGTTGTGTGGAGCGTTCTGGAGCAGGGGGCTTTGAGGGCTGGTGGCGATGTTGGCCAGCTCAGTCAGCCAGTTTGTGTGTGAAACGCTGCCCTCAGGCCTGGAGCTCCAGCCCTCGACGGGCCCCTCCTCATGATGCGACACACCCGGGGCCACCTGGAACATGCCCGGGGTCGACCGGTCATCCAGCACCTCCTGCAGCTCAGGCAGGTCATCTGCAGAGACGGAAACTGTCATTGCAAATAGTGTTTGGAATCAGAAATTAGATTTTCACGCTTTCAGAAGAAAATACGAGCGGTAAACATAATTACCGTACTCCATGTGACTCTCATTAGAAGGGCAGCCAGGTGAGGAGGGCAGGCGCTCGTTGCATTTAAGCAGATCGAAGGCCTCGTCCATACCTGAGCTCTGTGTCTGGATTTCCTGGACTCTCTGAGGGACCGACTGAGTTTTCACTTCCCACACCATATTATGACATGTCAGCTGTGCAGGCTGTGAATGCAAGTGAAGCGTTAAAGCGAAAGCAAAATGGGTAGGTAATTTCCAAACCAGCTCACTTGCACATTTTTACTTTGTAGGCATTTGTGTTGAATGAATGAATGAATGAATGAATGAATGTGGGACAACAGAAGTAAACACAGGAACAACAACTGTTCTGTTGGGTATTGTGCAATAGGCTCTTGGCCACTGTCCGATCACGTAGAGCACTGGTAGCATTCGCTTCTAAATGAAATGAGAGACATGAAAAGGATAGGATCCTTAAAACAAATTTCGTCGTGTTAAATAACGCGTTTCTGTGAAGCGTGGTCACGTGACCCGCATTGCACGCAAGGCTTGTTTATAAACTTTCTGTGACTTCGCGCATGCGCAGCGCAGCTCATTCATTCATAACTGCGTAACAACGGGGGATCAATAACAGCGATAGATTGCGCTATAAAAATCACCGTAACTTTTGATAATCGCAGATGGAAGTCCCCCCGTTCGATCCGATCGAAGATAAATCCGTGTTTATGAGTGGAAAGCTTTAATTTGTGGCCATTTCGCTCGCTCGACGGTTTCAGTTTTTCCACACAGGAAGAAAATACGATTTTTCTGCACTCGCGAATTAACGAAAACAAAACAAACGGAAGCGCATAGATGTTTTGTCTTATAACTGATATTTTAAAACGAATATTGTCGTTGTTATAGCTGAACACGAGAACAATCACTTCAATACGACGGTCTTTGTTTGGAAAAAATCGTCAAAAACTAATTAACAACTGCAGTACTTAATCAAACGACATCTTATACAGATTACAGAGCATCCAGCTCGACACCAGACGTTTGATCGATGTAGAATAATGAAGATAAATGCTTAAAAATGAACTCCAATGTCAACAGTGGGAGCTGTAAACAAAAGAATGTCAACAAGTTGAGACACGGTACATCAAGTACTTCCTTCAACCCCGCTGTAATGAATGGAGACCCTGTTTTCTTCTGGGTTTAAATGGAAAAAGCACGACTGGTTGTTTTTAATTATCGTCGCTATGGTGAGGTACGTTAGAGAATTACAAAACCACAAGCAAAACAACAAACGTCACGGAGAGAAAAAAAACCCTTCAAGTGAAAAGTTGTCATTTGCGATCGAAACAATGAATGACAGTCTTTTTGCTCCCCGCGGCCTCAACCGTCGCCGTCTAAAATAGCCACGCAGAATAAAGTTCATTGGCATTACCGTTTCGTTTCGTGGTAATATTTCAACAACTTTTTTTTTTACTTACCAAACCTGTCGCCATTACAGAGTATCTCTGGCGTTCTCGGCGAAGGCAGGGCTTGATTACTTTTAGATCCGGCCTCCCATTGGTGGAAACGCACGTCAGTTTGGTGAGCTCGAAGCGTGATTGGCTAGTCGTTCGCACACTGGGTTAGACGTAGATGGTTTGTTATTGTGTTTGTGATTGGCCAGTTCTGCATGTCCGTTATATCAGCCGTGAATCTGATTGGCTGAGACGGATTTTATTTTAAAGACCCTCCCACTTTGTTAAATGGGGGATTTGAGGTAGGCATCTTCTTGAGACGATGTAAACAAACATTGGACCTTGCATTTGGATAATATTTTTTTTTATTCTTTATTTTTTTTAAAAACAACAAAAAACTAAAACTAGCTTTCTATTTTTTCTATTCTATCTACTTGTTTTTCTTTGTGTGTGTGTGTGTGTGTGCATGTTTATGTGTGTGTGTG